TGTCTGCTTGCAGTGTATCCAGCAAGCCGATTGGCTCGTTTTATTGAAGGGCAAGACTTTCTCCATAAACAGACGCCATGTTGAGTGTTATGAGCTTTCCCTTTCATATTTTAACCATGACCGGTCCTTTCATTTATAATGTCTCTGGTACAATACAACTTTGAATATTGAGGATTTTCATTACAGAAAAACCTTCAGTCTGATGGACAGAATGAAGCTCTACAGGCATAGACACAGCGTTTAAAGAAAAGAAGCAAAAAAAACCTTGAAATATTTGGCTAGCATGTATGGCAAGAATGCTAGCTAGCACAGTAGCTAATTTAGCTGGAATTTAAAATTTTAAGTTAAGCTTTCTTATAAGACACAATAAAATATATTAGTTATTGCACTACCTACATTATATGGCCGAAAGTATATGGACACCTTTCAGCTTCACCCATATATAAAATCAAGCACATTGGCATGCAGTCTCCATAGACAAACACTGCAAGTGTAAGGTTGTACTGAAGAGCTCAGTGACTTTAAACGTGGCACTGTTCTAGGACACCACCTCTGCCACAAGTCAGTTTGCAAAATTTCTTTCCTGCTAGATCTGCTCCGGTCAAGTGCTTCTATTGTGACATTGAAGCATCTCGACTCGCACCCAAGAAACTCAAGACTCAACCCAGATGTAAACATTTCTGTTTTCTAGTGTAAAATGCTATGCTAACAGACTGGATTATGTTGTGAAACTAGGCAGATTGGAAACGACAACAACACCGATTTTGCCACCATGCTAATGTTAGCTCGATTACATGATGAGCAAATACACCCGATCTATAATAAGAGTGTGAAGTTTCACACACAATAAAAAAATACTATTTGAAATGAACAAAACACTGTAACCTAACTTAGGCTACGTTTACACAGCAGGTAAAAGTGGCCCAAATCTGATTTTCTCACCAAATCCGTTTTTTTGTTTGGCTGTTCACATTATCTTTTAAATGTGACCTGTATGCGACATCAGTCTGAACAGATCAGCTCCTAAACCGACCCGCATGCGCAAAAGAACAGTGCTTTACGTGGCTGCTTGTCCAGAGGTAAACAGTCATGACGGCCAGTGAACGCCAGTCGCTCCCGGAGCTTTCAGTTTGGTCTTCGCCAGCATCACATGAGCGAGTATAAAGTTCCAGTGGTTGACAGCTGGACTCATCACCCAGAATAAATTCGAGTCGCCGAAAAAGGGCACATTATTCTGCCACGGCCACTTCTTTGGTTCGTGTTCTCGGATTCTTTAAACTGTTCTCTGACGCTGCAGCCTCGGGCTCCTCCGGCCGCATTCGGCCGTTTCGTTCGAAATCTCCTCGAACACGGAGCGGTTTGATGAGTCTCCTCTAATTTTTTAGTACAGAAACATCAGCCTAAATGTTTATGAGTAAATGTGTAAAAGTCGCATGAATTCCAATCTGGCTGTTCAGAGTCGCATTGCCGCAGATCGGATACGCATCGGAATTTAAAATGTCAGATTCAGTGCATTTTTTGCTGTTCACACAGCCACACAAATGACACATCTGTGTCACATTTGAGGAAAAAGATTGGATTTGGGCCACTTTTACCTGCTGTGTAAACGTAGCCTTACTTTCTCAGTACGTTGATTTATCTTGTCCCACCTCACTACAGTACACATTTGAGGCCTGAGGCTGGGAGGTCAATTACCCCGCATGTGATATGAAATAGCTGCCATGTGATTAAGGTGAATGGGAATAAAACAGGCTGCCTTATGAGGAGAGTTTGCGCTATAGGTCAAATTAAATTAGCGTAAAATGCTTGTGCTCTAGAATTGCTGCTGAATTTCACCTTGTGCTGTGTCTAGATTTCCTAATCTGGAAAAGGCTTGCTAGTCCCATCCAACCACTGCACCACTTACAGCCCTCCATGCCAGCCCCAGTGATGCTTAATGGCTTTGACAGCGTTAGCATGTTCTCCTGCATTAAATCAAACCTCCATATACAATATTCACACTCAGCTTTGAGAGAGACAGAAAGGAAGAGCGGGAGAGATAGACAAAGCAATGGAGATAGAAGGAGCATTAGCGGCTGAGGACAGAAACACGTTAGACCGCTTTGCGTCTCTGTAATGTATGAAAAGACTCAGTGAAGAGAGAAAAATCAAATGGGGTTAAAGAGAAAGAAGGCAAGTGTTTTAAAACCCACTGAAGCAATCCACACCAAATAAAGGCCAATCGTAAAAGAACAGCCTCTCAGAGTACACAGTTGACTAAACAGGCTTTGGTAATGGAGTAAACCCTTATGTTGTTAGCATTAGCCATCTATGCACTGTTAATATGAGATAAATGTTGAAAGTAGGCCTGGGTGATATTTGCAGATTATTTTCACAATAGCTTTTGATTTTTTACATATCAGCCCCCCGTCCTCCACCCACCTCCCATCCCCCATGGTCCACTGAAGCTAAGGCCCACTTTCTATTCTATTTTTAGCTTATGTGCCTCTTTAAAATTAACTGATTGAAAAATCACATATTAAATAGTAATACAGAGTAACAACACATTTTAAAAACTAATTAAGCTCTCATTATGAAAGATGTCAAAAGAATTTACAGTGACGACAACTGTCACTCAATAGTGTGTTCCGGGTTTGTCGGACACTAGAGGGCGCTCCCAAGCGAGTCCAAAATGAATGGGATTCTGTTAGCCTTTGAGCTAAATTTGCTCAAAATTAATCATGCTTAATCAATTTTTATATAGAAGAATGCACTCGTTTTCTCAACACAGAACTGCATCAAATATGATTTTAAGCACTTTTGAGCTCCAGTTATAGGACTTGCTAACAGTGCCTTATGTACAATCATGACGTCAGTGAGAGCAAACCACTTTATTTAGCCAGTGAGCTGATCAGCTCATCAACCAGTCAACACTTAGTAGCAGTAATGCTAGTGCCCTACTACACAAAATCTATTTGTTGTAGAAAAACAGAAATATGCTTGTAATTTTCTTAGATTTTGTAACAGAACACATCCTACTACTCCTGCATAAACAGCTAAGAACGTTCAATTTTTGTTTTTAGCTGTGTATTTAATTCATTCCCGTTCACTGATGACTCTCTTGCGGTCACCTGCTATAGTGTAGCTATACATCCCAGTGGGAAGCTATAAAGTATATTTTCAAAATTTACTATTAATCTGAACCATCGGGACACATTATCAAAATGCAAAACGCTGAGAGTTCTTCTCAGACGGTGTATCACACTCTGGGTGTAACATACTTTCTTGCCTTGCCCTTATTTTTGTCTGTTTTTCCCTTTTGTTTATCTTCCTCTAATGTCTCTGGCCATGTGCTTCTGTTTGTTTTGGTTTTCCTGCTCCTCCCTTGCTCTGCCTCTTTGCTGTGTCCCTCACCTGTGTCTGATCTGTTGCCCTGCCCTGTAATTGTTCCCAGGTGTTTCTTGTTCATTTGCCCCTGAATTTATACCCCTTGGGTTTGTCCTGTTCCTTCCTTGTTTGTTGTAGTGTTGTGTCGGAGTCCTGTGTTTTTTTTTTTTGTTGTTTGTTTGTTTTTGTTTTTGTTTTTTGCATATTTATTCCTAGTATTGTACTTTGAGCTCTTTTTGTTTTGTGGTTCAAGTGTTTAAGTTATTTTCTAGTTAACTTTTGATTTGTTTCTGGTTTTTAATCTTTGCTTTCATCATGGACACCAATAAAACTCCCAGCTTACACTTGCATCCTGCTTCCTTGTCTGCTTTGGAGACACCAACATTACAATGGAAAACCAGCAGCAGAGACAGTGGGGAATTTGCTGTAATCTAGTTTGAACGGCTTATTAATACCTTATAATAATCTATTGTTTTAGCAGTAAAGGAGTATTAAATAGTACATGTATGTCCACATTGTGTAATATTATTTAGCAAGCTATTTAAATTTAAATGTCCTGTCTAATTCTCCATCATTTCTCTTTCAAATCACCTTTAAAGCATAGTCGTCGACTTAGTTGTCAAGCATCGCCAGTGTGCAATTACATCGCCCTATCGCCCAGGCCTAGTTGACCAAATTTAAGGATGAGTTGAGCATTAGATAACAGTCAGCATGATACCCAGCATTAGATGTATCAGAAAACATTCAGAGTTGTTAATATAAGAAAGGCCTTTTCCCCTTGGTGAAATTATGCAAACAGAAGGTCTGGTGAGTAACACCGTCATAGAGTAAGTCTTCTCCTCCTTACGCAAGCCACATGGTGTGCGCTTCTCTCGGGACCAGCACACACACACAGCTTCTGCTCTGTTAGTGCATGTCACACTTATTCATTCAGACAGCTCAGTGCATAATGCACTCCTATAGGACCACACAAATCCACCCTCGAAAGCACACACACATGGGCAAAACCAGCAAAACCATCCTGACCTGAAACTAGAATCCAAGAAAGATAAAATGAGTCAGATGAAAAAAAGAAAGTTTCTTAACAGTAAATAAAATAAAGAATGACTGAAATGCGCTGTCTAGTGAGTAACTTTGGCACTTCTACTCAGCAGTAAAAGGGACTGAACCCATGTGTTTCTTTGAGTCAAAGCTTTCTTTGCTGTAAGCCCAGCCTGGTGTGGGATTCACTCTAGCTCAGGGCAATCGACACCAGTGAGACTGAATTAGTCTACAATAATAAGCAGTCCGTGTGGTCTGTGCTGCCTGCTTCAACTGGCATAGACGTTCCGGCATCATTTCAGCCATCAGGTAATAAGACAACGTCTAAAACACAAAAGCTCAACTTGAGCGAATTTCATTTTTCTCCATCTCGTGATGCCTTTTTTCACCTAAACCTTGAACCCTGAAGAAAAACAAAGATGTAATATACAAACTTACTGTCATAATGATTTTTTCCAGAATGTCCTGTAGTTATAAGATGTTCTTCAAACTCTCTTTTGCACTTTCCTATGCTAACTATGCTAACTGTCCCACTGATTGCCGTTGTCATGAGTGAATGGCTAGACTTCTCCCTTCCTGTCTAGCCAGCAAAAGTTCCGCATCACCAGTAGAGATTGCTCCAAGTTCAATCCTTTGCTGCTTATATCAATTCAGGATTGGAACAACATAATCATTTTATCAAAAGTACCTCAAAGGCGCATTATCGCTAACATAAGTTTGAGTTTGATTATCTTTTTTCGCCCAGTCCTAGTTCAAAGGTCATCCTGAGATCAGCCTTGCATATCCCTTGTGCACCTGTGCCTGGACAGGGCCGTACTCCACCTGTTCACCGTCCACAGTGATGACTCCGGGCCGCGTAACTGGGTCCAGCCTCAGTGCCCTGACCCGGCGGTACACCAGGTGTGGGCAGTCACAGGCCAGATGTGTCCCCTTCTCCATAGCAAGAAAGAGCCTGAGCAGGGCCGGCCGTGATACACCTGCTGTCACGTAGAATAGGTGAATGTGGCCGTCGTCCGGTCGGGCATCTGGTGCCACCATCAGGTCCTCAGCCAAGTGAGAGTGGCAGGTGGCCAGAACCAGGACAAAGTCATGTTCTTCCACTACAGTCCAGTTTGTGGGTACAGGCTCTCCAAAAGGAGTCATGAGGTTATCAACTGGCCCATGTTCCTTTGGGTCAGTCCCTGTGAGTGGGAGGGCAATTTTATGGAGTGGTTTATGGAGTATGTTTTCTAAATTATAACTAATGACAAATATAACTACTTACAGAGAAGTGAAATACAGTGGAAAATGGTCTGAGAATTTTATTTTGGTAATTTGGGGTAACACTGTACTTGCTACATAACCTTGACATAAGTATAAACATGTCATGGAAGATATCTTATGCATGTCATTACAGGTTATGTCCAGTAATATATTTGCGTCATGTGACCATTACTAGTAATAGTCATAAGAAATTACCATTACCTACACTAGCCGTGGCATCTGTCATGACATTTACTAATAACATGACTCTTATATTGAAGGAATAATCCATGAGAGGCAATGCGTTACAGCGACTTTATCACAGGCAAGGGTGTTCCTAGGCACGACGCAAAGCTGCGATTTTATCACAGGGAAGGCATGTTTTTAGGCACGACTCCCTTTCCCATGATAAAATTGCAGTAACGCTTTTATAAAACAGTGGCCAACATAAAACATGATAAAATAGACTTTTTTTTAGAAAATAATTTATTATTAATAATAAACGAGTATTCTGCCAAGAAATGTAGTTCCTTTAAAGTATGGTATTGTTGCCAAGCAACCATGGACCACTGAATTGGTCGCCTGTCATTGTACACTACGGTCATTTCATGATTTTTTCGACTTTTTGTCATATAACAATGAACACATAATAACACTGTTTAATGCAAAAACATTCACTTTATAAGTACTTTTGGGTCACCAAATTACCACGAGTCTTATTTAGCACCAATCCAGCGGCGCCCGTCTTCTCGTGCTGAATCTCAAACGGTTTTCTGCTCCCTACAAAGTGCACTACATAGGAATTTAAATGCTGAATCCTGCACCCCAAGAGTACATTATATAGCTAAGAAATAGTCATTTGCCACATCCATACTTGATAAATAAAGCACTATTTGGCTGTAGAGTCTAGAATTTTTAAACCTCCACAGTTAGCACACTATTTAGGGAGTACAGAGCTGTTTGGGATTCGGCCTGGGTTTAACGTTACTTCTGGCTGAAACACGGACATCTGAAGCATGTAAGCCATTCAAGTGAATTTTTTAGACTTTTATACTGCCGTTTTACAGTTAATCATACTTTAAGTACTTTAATTTAAACCTGTGATATTTATGTTGAAGTTGTTTAGGCTGTTAGCTATCGGTAAGCCTGTTAGCCAGCTAACCAGCCTAGTTCTGGTTAAGAAAATAAGTATCCAGCCCATCAGTTTAAACAAAAACGGGCTCTTACTTCATCAATACACTTGATGGTCCATGCGAGCAGCATTAGAGTCAAAGATTATTCCATTACAGTACAAGGATTTTTCGCGCCGTGGTGCAGCAATACACAGTTGTTGTGAGGCGTGCATAGGTGTGCATATAACGTGGATTTTACGGCTTTGAATGCCGCTCAGCTGATCAGATTTTGGGACCGGAGCTATCTGTTTATAATACTATAATACAAAACAAATTCTGTCATAACATTGTCAGCATGGTTATGTCAGTGTTATGCAGCAATGGTCAAGTAAAGTGTTACCAAAATTAGCACCTAAATATAAATGCAATTGAGTACAACATTCTTACTTGTGGCTGGACGTTCAGGGCTGTGATGCTGCTGTGTGTTTGACACACATGGTACAGAGGAGCAGTAGGAAGAAGCAGGAAGCGAAGGGGGGGAGGGAGTTTTGACTGAGCTGGACTCCTCTGCAGCCAGCAGGAAAGCTAGCCTGCCTTGGTAGGTCCGCAAAGATGCCAGACGGACTAGGGCGCCCACCAGGAAGCGCACTGCCCCCACGGGACGATACTTCTCGCTCTCAATGTCCACATCTGCCACAAAGCCCCAGGCAAGAGAGAGGAAGGAGAAGAGACGCTGACCCGAGGAGAGGCGCACAGAGAGCAGGTCCAGAGGACACACCAGACCCTTACACAGCACGAAACCACAGCCCAGCAGCAGATCCTCACCAAACACTGCATCTGCCCTGAGATAAACAATACATACATGCACACACATACACACATGTTTAACGCAGGGACACACAAACACACACCTGTCTGGCCATTTGAATGACAATCACGCATCATTCAGATTGCAGGTTTAAGTTTCTCCCCAAGGAGGAGCTGTTAGAGCTTTTGTGTGACTCACTGAAAGGGAAGAAACTGGCACAAACCCACACCAGCAGGAAATGCACAAATGAATGCATGTTTACAGTTACAAATTACCTGTGGAATAAAATGCCTGAAATTATGCTACACATACCCTATGTAGGAAAGCTTTATGTTGAGTTAGGCATTCTTAAATATTAAAAAAAGTGAGGTATTCAATCTATAACTATCACATGCTACAGTAAAGTCAGTTACAACCTCCAAATGTTTAATGTAACTCTTTAAGATACAGCTTCTAGTACTGTTAAATTTAGTGTAGGACGTAAATACACAATGAAGTTAACAGTACATATCCAATAGGATATGTACTGCTATCTAATGGCTTTTTCCAGTAAAGTATTTTGGAATCTTTGAAAGGCACACACACACACTTTACATACATATATCATTGAATTTTCAATCATACATGTAGGATTAAAGGATTAGCAGAACTACAAGACTAACTCCATTTCCCCTGGTAAGGCTTAAGAGAAATTCCTAGTTTATTTTAAAATAAATAAAAAAAATAATTTTAAAATAATCCCAAAATACAAATACTACTGACATTGAAAATAAAAAGATTTATTTTGTATGCTGACTTCATAACTACAGCTGTGTGAATATACACACATTTTTTATATGTGGGTTAACACATATATCTTATGTGCTTTTAATATATAGATCATTTTTCAAGTTGGTTCAAAGTCAAAGCTGAAAACACAATTCTCTTGCTATGAGTTACCAGCGGTGTCCAATCTTAACCACAAAGGTCCGGCTGGCTGCAGGTTTTTATTCCAACACAGCAGCAGATCACCTGATCAACTGGTTGAAGACTGAGACAAACTCATTGAACAGGTGGAATCTGGTGGGCTCCTGCTTGTTTGGAGTGAAAACCTACACCCACACTGGTCCTTTGTGGATATGACTTTACACCCCGGCCCTAAACCTTAATTATGTTCATTTTTTTAAAACATATGATTGACCATTCCATGTTGTCTGTACCAAAACGATCATAAAACTACTGGAACATTTTTTATCAAATGTTTTGGTAATGACTGTTTTGGTAGTGATAATTGTAGCTAATTTTGAGCAGAACTCAAAAGCGTGAGCGGATACATGACCAGCAAACACAGCTTTGAACAGTTCTACACACATAAAATCATAACATTTTTCATTTAAACACAAAAACATTTACTTCATTGCAAAAATATGTGTTACAGTAGTGACAATTCATAATATTACACATTGACAATTAATTAGTTTACACAATGATTTTTGGAAGTGACTTAAAAATGTGAGACATGAAAATGTTTTTTATTTAAAAAAAGAAACTCATGATAGATCCAAATCTTTTCATTTCACTTTAAAAGACAAAACAAATATATTTTTTAAAACAACATTGAAAAAATGCTAAAAAAAAAATTAAGTGTTGACTTACAGAAAAAATAAGTACTAAAATTTAAGCTGAAATTTAGGAGTTTAATGGTTACTGATATTCAATGTTTTTTTTCCTAATGTGTTAAACGGTTTATAAACAAATAAACAGAAATTGTGGACAAACATTTGCAGAAAAATACCACATTTAAGTTCATTCCCTGTATAGAATGCGTTAACTTATTTTCATTTAGCAAATCAATAAAACATGCAGTTTGACTGGGGGTACCTATAAGTACCTACATGTAATATGAATTTAAGCCTAAATCTAAACCTAATCTTAACCCCAGCACCCAAAATGAGATAATTTCAGGGATGACTTTACTTTTAGCTAAGAAACTTTATTTTTAACTAAGTCAACATTATTTTTTTGGTTCTGTAAGTTAACTTTGTTTTTTCTCAGTTTTTTTCCTACAAAATGAGAAGTTTTTTTTTCAGAAAATGTACAAAAACAAACACATACACACACACACACCTACAAAAAGAACTTCACACTGTTAAGCTGCCTGTCTTCAAGCAAAACTCACAACTCCTCGCTGCTGCCACTGCTATCTCATATGAGTTATGTTAAATCCTTCCCATTGGGCCATTGTGGTGATGAATAGCTGTGCTGCTGTCCGAGACGGTGCTTAATTTCCTGTGTCCCATGCATAGAAATGACCCTATTACCGCACTAGGCACGTCAGCACATGTCCACACAGCTAGCTGTGCACTGGCTCCTGGCCAAATACTGGCCGGATTAATGGGGATTCAGGAGTCCACAAGGAAATGGCATCAACATTATAACATTAATTTTATGGTGATTATGCAGTAGAGATTGGTTAATAATTAGATAACAGCACTATTCTTAACAAATCAACAAAAGGTGTTTTTGGTTAAAGACTGAGACAACTATTTACGGGGAAGGGGGCTTTTAAGCACTCCACTTTGCACTGTGCCTAACAACACCCTTCTCTGTGATGCAATTGCAAGAACGCATACCCTCTCATGGCTTATTGCTTAATTGCATAGATGAGAGCAGCACATATGGGTACTTTGCCCTTCTAATTTAACTGTTGGTAAATGCAAATTCTGAGGTACTCTGACAATTTAATAGCATAAAATAAGAATACTGATTTAAAGCTACTTGGAGCCCAAATCCTATGGCCGGTCAGGCAAACAGTTATGTCATGATGTTGCCGATCAATGGTCAACGTCATTATATAGAAGAAAATGGGTTGAGTGTCCTTTCAACCCTACCCAGTGGCCGGAGCTGTCATATTTATAACTCACCTCCCTATAGTTTTATTATCATGGCATTTATGCTGCATTTAGACACTTTCAATTTGGATTATTATGACAATTAAGGTGTTTCTGTTGCTGAGCTATAAAGTCTTGCAGTGTACTCACTGTGTGTAATGGTGCACTGAAGCAGCCAGTGCGTTTCCTGAGCCTCCTGGCAGAATGCCCAGCGGGGTGCGGATAGCCTCCTCCCAGTCCTCTCTCTCCATCAAACCATTGATCACCTGCCGAACACACAAAGCAACATGAATACTCACACATGCATGCTTGCATTTCAAAGTTTTGAACCACTTTTACTATTAATAATTTTTGTCCTTTTTATTCAGTAATGAATGAAACAGTGCAGATTAAAATATTATAAAGTAGATACATTAGATGTTTTATTTAATACTTAGAGTACTTTGCAAAGTTAAATGATAAATAAAATACTGTAATTATCTATTTATAATATATAATTCTTGGCCAAAACTGATAGTGATATTTGGGACATGCTGAAACTGAAAACTGGAAAAAGATGGAAATAAATAAAAGAGATATAAAGAAAGATGTAGTGTAATAAACATTTATTATAGTATCATTATAAATATTATAGTATTCATGTTACAGTATGTGCCTCTAAAACCCAACACCTCAAAGAGCAGCCCGTCTCCTGACAGAATGACGATGGCGCTCCACTGAGAGAGGTCAGCATTCCTCACCAACTCACGCGCATGATTCTGATGCTCTGAGGAGAGAGAGACAGGGAAATATTAGAAGGAGAGAGAGAGAGAGAGAAAGTATGGAGCCCTCCTGTTGACATCCCATATAAATAAAAATAATGTGTGGCCACAACATGTTAACGCATGGGAACAAGATCCTAATGTGTGGCCACCACTTAGTAAGGAGTGGGAACGACATAATTAAGTTGTGGCCACGTCTTATTAAGCTGTGTTCAAGGGTTAATTATTTCATTCCCATGCCTTATTAAGTCGTGGCCATGACTTAATTATCTCCTTTTTCTATGCCTAATTAAGTCGTGGCCATGCATTATTTTAATTTATGTGGGATGTCACCAGCAGGGCACCATAAGAAAAAGAAAGAAGGAGAGAAAGTGCTAAAATTGAACTGGAACAAGGAGGAAAGGACAGAGCAAGAGAGAAACAGCAAGAGAGGGATAGAGAAAGAGAGTGAAGCAAGAAAAGAGAGGGAACAGAAAGCGAAGGTTTGAAAGAGAAACAGAGATGAAGAGAAAGAAAAAAGACTAAGAAAGCGACAGAGAGAGAAGAGAGAGTGAGAAGGAGAAAGAAGAAGAGAGAGGAGAAAAGGGAGAGAGAAAAAAGGAGGATGGGTAAAGAGAGACAGACAAAGAGAGAGAGATTAAAGGGAAGAGAAAGAGAGGAATAAAGAGAGAAAATGAGAGAGAGAAAAAAGGCAGACATAGAGAAAGAAAAAATGCAGAAGAAGAGGGAGAAAAAGGGGGAGAGAGAAAAAGAGAGGGGAAAGAGAAAGAGACAGACAAATAGAGGGGATGAGAAAGGAGTAGAGAGAAGAGAAAGAGAGTATGAAAGAGAGAAGAGAGATATGAAAGAAAAAGACTGAGAGAAGGACAAGGAGAGAAAGAGAGAAAAGAGAACAGAGCTACAGAGAGTGAGAGAGAAGGGGGGAGGGAGAAACAAAGACAGAGAGCCAGAGGTAAAGAGAGAAAGAAAGAAAGAGAGAGAAAGAGAAAGAATGAAGGAGAAATAGAAAGAAGTAAAAAGACAGACAGATAAAGAGAAAAAGCGAGAGAGAATAGCAGCAGAAAAAGACCCCTCTCAGTGCCCTCAGTGCAAAGACAGATGAAGTGGATTAGTGATCAGAAGGATTGAGTTTCTTTTCATCAGTCTGGACCTGTAAAACAAGCTCCATCACTCCATCCATCTGCTTAAAACCCTCCAAAAGCACTGGTTACGCACAGGCGGCATGTGGAGGCAGTGACGGTGAGAGTTTAGATAGGTTTAATTTAATTCTGCTTTATTGGATAATCCCATTGACTCAGTGTTTCTCAGTCATTGGATAAGCGGAGCTGTCTGTCAGGATTTTGTTGCAGCATTACTGAACCAGGAGTCAAGGGCATTTAAAGCTGCTCCCAAGAGGGAATGAGCTCCATCCAAAAACCACCAACAGTAATCGACTTTGGTCTAGATTTACACTCATGCAGTGAAATTTAAGGATAAAGATATTGCCATAATGCTCAGACCAACTGTGTAGTTTTAAATGGGCCAGTTTTCTACAATTATCATCTATTTTCTTGTATTTTATAACATTTGTGTGGTTTTATTTAACCTGTAAAACCTGTAAAAGTAATTTTTATATGACAATTGTATCTTTATATGACAACCTACCTTCATCCCTTAGATTTAAACAGGCTGTTTATGTAACTCTGCCTTCAAGACTGATATATGTAAATGACCTACCATTCTGATTGGCTACCCTGTATTGTGCCTCGTTTAATATGTTTCTCGCTATGAACCAGCAACTCGGACTAAAAGCCCACCAAAAAAGGCAAAACAACTTGTTTCATTCTAGGGCCAAATCACAGAGTTGTAAATGGGCATGTAAAAGCACATCTGGGCATTTTTCACCCTGGCCAAAGTCACATACCTTCCATGTAAACATAAAGAAAAATTTGAAATATGGAATAAATGCATTCTATGTCACCTTTACAAGTTAGAGGCACTGGGTCAGACTTTTTCAGACCACGTCATAATCTTTACACATTAATGTAACACACACAGGCTCAAAAAGGAGGTCCAGCTCAAAGTCTTGAACGCAAAATCAACATTATACTGATGAAGATATTATGACAATAGTAAATAATTCACTTACATCCTTGGAGGACACATCCTTCACCAAGTTTTGACTGAGTTCTCTTTGAATACGTCAAATCAGATTCATCCACTCGGGGAAGGGGTCCGAAGCAATCGATGTTACAAAATTCTCTTGTACATGTCGTGTGTAATTACACATTTCCATCTCCAAATCCCCAAATCTTGGATAGTGTAGTTCAAATATAGCATATTCTCTGGCATATTCTTATATTCTATATTGCAAATTATAAGTAGAGCCGATATATATTTTATTTGAAATATATAAATTATACATATGTTGCCTTGTGAGTATTAGGATGCAGTCACATGTTTGTGTATGCATGCCCATATATGTATGTGTGTGCGCTTTTTTTAATATGTATCTGCATGCATATGTGTGTGTGTGTGTGGTGCAGGCAGTAGAATATGGGTCAGCATGCTGGCTGTGTTCCTGCAGCTGGCTGCTTCAGTGCTGCGTAATTATTTAGGCATATCTGTCTTACTAGATTAACCCACCAAACCCCATGAGCAAGCCTGCACTTATGTTGGTGTGTGAGTGTGTGTGAGTGTTACTGTAATGGTGTACATGTCTGTAGCATATGTGTGTGCATGTGTGTCTGTGTAAATGTGAGCAGAAACGTTTTTTCATATACAGTACTGTACAAAGTCAGAGACCTTCTTTATTTAATGTCAAAATGGTCATTAAGTACAAGTTATTTATTTTTCAGCATCAAGAATAAAAAGCAAAAGGAGGCTTACCTTATGTCTTTAGAGTTAGCACAATATCACTGAGCCCATTAGCCCATTGTCTTTATGGATGTCTTTAGAGTTGATAGTTATCACGTTGTCTCTGGTCATGTCTTTAGAGTCACTAATTAGCCCAGTGTATAAAGTCATTATAGTTGCTAGCTAGCCCACTGTCTTTAGGGATGTCTTTAAAGTTGCTACTTAGCCCAATATCTCTAGTGATGTCTTTAGAGCTAGTTAGTCCATTAACTTTAGTGACGTATTCAGAGTTGCTAATTAGCCCACTATCTTTAGGGATGTCTTTAGATTTGCTAGTTAGCACAATATCTTTATTGATGTCTTTAGAGTTGCTAGTTAGCCCAGTGTCTAAAGTGTTTAGAGTTGTTAGTCGGCCCACTATCTTTAGTGATGTTGCTAGTTAGCCCAAGCTTTTGTCATGTCTTTGCCTGTCAGTTGCTGTCTCTAGTGCTGTTTCATTTCATCCCATTGACAGGAAAAATGGTCAAAAAAAGGCAAAAAAAAAAAACATAAATAAAATAAAGAGTTATATTTTCAGGCTGTGATGTTTTTAGTAAAAGGGCTGCACAGCGTCTACATTAAGTGCTGCACACATACCACAGAGATAAACATCAATGGGTCATCACACCATTGGCTCCTCACAGCTGTGTGCCTCTGAAGAGAGGATGGTGACCTCAGAGTGAGGTGAGGCAGAGAGAGAGTGATAGATAGCTAGACCACACAAGAGAGAGATGGATCTGCAGTTTCAGCTACAGGAAGAACGAGCTGAGTCAGCATTCTCTCTGTGTGATAGACAGTGAGTCCATCTCCTATATCACACACACACTCACACAAACACACACACACACACACCAAGGCACACCCCTAAATGTCTTCAGATATACTGCCTCTCTCTATCATAAAAATGAGCTCCCATCTCCAAACTTCTCCACTGGGACTGACTGACTGCTCCTCAGACCAGACACACACACACACACACACACACACACACACAGAAAGATGGAACAGAGGGCGAAAGAGGAAGAGAGAGAAAAAGAAAGAGACAGAGAGAGAGAGAGAGAGAGAGAGAGAGAGAGAGAGAGAGAGAGAGAGAGAGAGAGAGAGTGAGAGAAAGAGAGAGAGAGTGGGTGAAAGTTGCGTGATAGCTCAGTCATTTTCACCTGACAGTGATGAAGTTCTGTTAGTATCATTCCAGAAATCAAGAGGTATCATAAAAAAGGCTTTTGCAGCTCCTCTTCCATTTGCTACCATTAGTACTGGCCTTTTATGGAAAGGTTACCCAGAGTTCATTGCTCCTCTGCATTCCTCTGCTCATGATCTCATGCCATAATGGCAGCACCGCACCCTGCAGCCCAGAGGACAACAAACAGTATTGTCTTCAAAAACTCCTGGTAAAGACTGGTACAGATTCTGCTCTTGGCACAGTGTCGCCACACTTTTATTTCTGGAATATTGTCTGTCCAGTATGGCTGGAAAGTAATAACATATTGTTGCTGTCCAAAGAAAAACATGTATCTCCATTTTTCCAATTTTTATTTTTCTGCATTATTTGAGCACAACAGCTGTCCTTTACATTGTGTCAGAATCTCGTGTGGAATGAATAGAAATAGTCCAAAATCATTTTACATCTCATTACATTTATTCCTTTGGAAGTTTAGTAGGATACCAGTGGGGATGTTCCAGGACAATAGGTTGTAGTCTCTTTCTGCAGCGCCCCTCCCCCACCTCAGTGGCCAACTCAGATATTTTTAATTAATCTCATCAAAATAAAGTATTCTCTAATCTAATTAAAGTATCCTCTTCTCAGATTGTTCTGTTATCAGATTAACTAATCCTGTTGGCTCTCTCTGTGTGAAGTGTTGTGACTCTGTGTTAGGCTGCTAGTGAGCAATAAGGGGTGAAAGGAAAGGAGTGAGAGCCCCCTGCTATGAAAACAACTTACACCTTTCTACAAAGATGGCTGTAGCATTCTTGATATCAAAAGGCAGTTAAAAATAGCACTTAAACTCAGTACAAAACCACTGATGTGTTTGGTCACATGTGTAGATGAAAATCCAGTTTGCTTATGGTTTTGTAAATCATGCACATGTCAATGGAAACATATTCCATCAACATTATTGCACAAAAAAAAATTATAGTTGCATTTTGAATCTTACGCCAACATCTCAGCGAGTCAAATTTGCAAATTTGCAAAACAGCAAAAATGATTAATTACATTAATTAAAAAAGCATTAATTATCTTAATTAAAAGTTTGTTTTTAAAGTACTGCAGCATACAGAACTTGGCCAGTCAGGAACTGCTTTTCTCTGTGGTATCAGTAGCTTTAGCCAAGGAAGCTTTCTTATTTGTTAGGACTTCATAATGTAAAAAGAAGTCCTAAAGCATTAGATTACCTATTAGCGTAATTATGAAGTGACAGAGAAATCAACTAACAAATTTATGATTTCCAATAGGCGGGAGCAATATTGTGAGAAAAAAAAACTTTATTCTAGGCCTTCTGGAAGTTCTAGATAAGTCAATGACTGTGAATACTAGTGCCAGACTCATCAGTGGGTTTCTAGGAAAGGAAAACAGTGTCAGCAGCTCTATAGCAGGCCTCTCTACTGAAAGAGTCACTGTGAAACTGTCACAAGGTAAAGCTTCAAGCAGAACATGGAACGTCTTTTAGAAGCTTCAAATGTCTGTGTTTAATCTAGAACTGCTAAAAATGTTTATGCAAATTTCCGTTACCTTAACACTAACATACTATTAGATTTCCATAAGGATGCTGCCAGAGATTAGCATTATAATAGTGATAGGTTTTGACCGAGTTTTGACATTTATGGCCCAAACTGAAGGTCATGGTTCATCACTGTTTCACTAGTTACTGTTGCTGGGTGTTTCTGGTCTTGTCTGCTTGTGTTTATAGCCCTACATCTCCAGTGTTTCTTTGTCAGGTATTGTGTTTGTTGTGCAGCTTCTTTTAATCTGTTTGTTTGTTTTGTTGTTACTCCCAGTGTTTTGTTTCATTGAAATAAACTCTTTTATTTGTTTACATCCTGCCTCAACACCTCCTTCATGATGGTAATCGATGCTGAATTTATTTCACTATAAATCATGTCTAGATGAGCGCCTTGTCTTACTCAAAATAACTGTTCTTGTCAGGTCAGAAGCTCCCAGCCATGCTCCGGCGCTCTTCTCCAATTTAGCTCCAACCCTGATTTTACACTGCTAACTCATATAAATATATATATATATATATATATATATATATATATATATATATATATTCATAATATTCATAATAATGTTATTCAGCACATCAGCACATCAGTCATCTTATATGTCACCATAGTGAAGAACATCTTCTTACATTTTGTTTTGTGTTGCTCAAACTTTCAATACCGCATTTGTGTTCCTAAATAGAAAAATAGGTACTTTACATATATATTTTTTTGAAAAGTTAATGTTTTGCATTCAGTCTTGTTTTGTGGAAAGCAAAAAAAAATGGTATGTTTTTGCTTTTTTTTTACATTTACAGACATGAACCTGAACCTGAATTAATCATATATTTACATTTAAAAAGGTATATAATTTAAATAAGACAAACAATAATAACTCTGTACTTCTAATGTTTAAATAATCCTAATATTGTCCATACAACAATAGTCCAATAATATATTTTTTTTAAAAGTGTGGATGACACACTATAAGAAATAAATTGTTTATTTATGCCATGCTTTTCCATGTAGAGTACAGTCAGCATAGAGTCATCAACCTAAAATGCAGCTGCAATTAATGTCAACATATTTCCACTTTGTACATCAAACAACCCCTTTCGTTCTTTTCTGAACGCAATGCCAACAGAGAAATCTCTCTGATTCAGAATCTCTAACTTTCTATGGCCGCATTCCCAAATATTACGAGACCTAAAAGAGGAAAAGGCCTAAAAATACTGTGTCTATATATAACTCCCTGTGAGCCTCCGACTGTTGATGGTGAAGAGAGTGTTCTCCTGCAGTGTACGCTCACTGCTTCCTGACAGATCTGGGGTGTGTTTGTTTTCTCTGCTTCAGGGCGTCCCTAACTGAGTAAATAAATAACTTCAGGTAGCTTAAGCAATGTACGTGCTCACCTACCTACTGTTTTCAATTAGCTGTCAAACCCATCTCCAAAAATGAGAAATGACTGCTCTTTTCAGACTGGGCTTTTTAAATAAAGACTCAAAAAGTTCAGTTTAGCTCATTTTAGCAGGCGGGTGAGCAGACAGGTCCAGTTATCTATCACGTACACTAATGGCACAGCCAGAATTTCATTTTATGGGGGGCCTGGTTACAGCTTTAGAAATTACACACCCATTACCATAATCAGAGAGAGATTTTTTGAATATTAAATGCAATACACAATTACTTAGTTTAAATTTAACTGGCTATTTAACTGGCTATTGACATTCATGACCACAACAATTGACAGCATACCATGGACAAAACTAAAGCTGACTTCTTATTTGCTATTTTCCGTTCCACCTTAAATGGTGCAGCAGTTATATTCTGGTGCCTTAAAGGTGCCTTGTTTTTTGTACTACGCTCAGTTACTACTAATCTTTAGCTTGATAAGTAGTTTATAGGAACTAGACACAGCTCAGCTAAGTTCTCACCATGAGGAGAATCAGTGGAGGAATGCAAATGTTAAAACGTTTTTACATAAAAAAACAACCTCACATGCCTTTTTGCTTGACCGGCAGCAGCATGCATGCACAAATGTTACCATAGTTATAGCGTCCACTGAAGAAAAGGATATGATTAAAGGCAGCTTAATCAGTCTCGTTATTTAAAGTGTGCCTTTTTTCATAATGACCACATTTTGTAATCACTAGCATTGGAGAGTTCTTTAACAGTCAGACATCTGGGGATCCCCCTTACACCCCTAACATACACAGCAAAGTGTGTGTTGGTACGGTTTGTGTGTATTTGTGTGTTTGTGAGTGAGAAAGACTGACCTGTGGTGATGAGTGTATGTGGAACAGCAGCCTCGGTCAGCATGCGCTGAATAGGTCCAGTGTAAAGAGCCATAGCCTGACCTTTCCCACTGAGAGGATTCACCAACACCATCAGCCGCCGCGCTCTACACACCTGACTGTACTGTCCACCTGAGGGCAAGCAGATGGCAGGAGAAACAGACACAGAGTGAGAGGGAGATGAAAAAGACAGGAGTTGAAGACAGAGATTCACTTTCTCTTTTATTGTCAAAGAAAAATACATTCATAGGAGACATCCCTGCTGAACTTTACGCAACAAAGAAACTGAAAATAGTGCTGAAAATGCTGCATTGGCTGACCAATAGTTCAAAAAAATGCCCCAGCTTCAGGGAAAGCTCATTGATAATACTGCACAGTGCCAGTAAGCAGAGATGCCACTATTTGATACCAATATTGAAACCTTGATTATCGATATTGATTTTGAAAACTACTAAGCATTAAAATGACCTATGTTTAATTGAAATACTTCACTTAATACAAACATCTAAAAGTAGACTATCCTCCCCCTATCACACTATGAGTTTCAAGCTAGATTTGTTACAGGATTGGGTCAAGTTCATTCTTTTTTTACGCCTCCACTTTTCAACTGACAACCGCCCTATATGGAGAGGTGGAATCTGATTAGTGCCACCTCTACCAGGAATAGCACAAGTTTGTAACAATGCAGACAAATACTGTACTGTGCAAAACCAGAGACCACCCTTCATTAATTTAATTACCATTTAACACAGCCATTAAGTACAAATTATTCATTTTTCAGGAGATATTCTCGAGGAGATTAGATATAAAATAATACATTTGTACAAGGAAGAGGAAAGTCAAAGCAAAAACTGTTTCCAAAACTGTGCAAGACCTAGAAGTCCAGACCTCAATGTCACTGAATGCATTTTAAATGGCAAAACTAGGTTATAACTTACTATTGTAATGTAATATAGTTATGTCAGTAAAGTGTCTTTGAGTTGAGCTCAGTTGGCAGAGAGAGAAAGAGAGAGAGAGAGAGAGAGAGAGAGAGACTTATGTCATTAGTCCTTTTTTTGGTCTGTTAAGACAGAAGTAATTTTCCCCCCATCTTCCTCTCTGAATCTGTTAACGAGTCTGTGAGAATTTTTAATTAGACTTCAAGAACATCTTTTTATTCCCTCTTGCCCAGCGGAATCCCTCGCTTTCACGAAGCTCCTGCAGCGTATGGACAGATGGAGGCTGGCGGCGTTGAAGGTGCGGATCACACTTCCATGAAGAGTGAAAAAAAAAACATGGTGAGTAGATATTTAAATAACACAGCTCTCACACTGATACGTGTACATTCTCATGTCAATATCTGCCAGGAAAGTTTTGTGGGTAAGTAGTATTGAAACAAAAGCACTCTTCCCTTCAGTGGAATTGGTGGTGGTGGGGGGGTGTACATTTCTCAGTTTCTCAAAAAATTAAAGGAATATTCCAGTGTTTTTTTTTACCCTTATCTCTTTCTATTGCATCTGTATTGTTCAGGTGATTATCAATAACAATATATTTTACAGTAAATAACAGAAAACGTGATGACTCGAAACTTTATCGCTCAAAGGCAATTGATCTGTTACCAAATTACACAAATAACTGTTTAAAAATAAAATAATACAAATTCAAAATCATTATGCTTAAACAGTACAGGCGTTAGGATGAGACAGATATAACAGAATGACATACAAAAACTGTTCTTATAAAGTTTTTTCCAACTTTTAAACAGTAAAAAAGTAGGTCTGCTTACTTTCGCTTTCCCTAAAATTTTTGCTATCCACTGGTAACTAATCACCATCAATTCTTCCTTCTGGAAAGCCAATCTACCCTCAGACTTAATTTACAAACAGTAGTTTCCTAACTGTCATGAAAATTTTAAAAGATACAATGAAAATATTCTAACAACTGTGCAGGACTTGGTAGACCACCAAAACTGTCACCATCAGATTAGATAAACAGTACTTAAGTAGTTCCTCTTTGAGAGAGAGGAGAAAATCAAGCTCCACTCTTACTTCAGATCTGAAAAACTCCACAGGTGTTTCTGTCCATCCTTCCACTGTGAAAAGACAACTCAACACTATAAGTCTGAAAGGATGTGTAGCTGTCAAGAAGCCCTTACTGAGAAAAGGAAACAGACAAAAAGGGAAAAGATGCAAATCAAACAAAGAAGCTGCTGGAAGAAGTCCAGACCTCAACATCACTGAATGTGTTTGATTACTTGGATTGTGAGAAACAGAAAATGCAACCAACTTCAAAAACTTTGAAAGTGTGGAAAAATACTGGTGTAAATTTCTTTGAAAGACTGAAAGGAAGTCTCCTAAAAAGAATGGAAGCTGCAATAAAGGCAAAGCGTAGATGCACTAAATACTAAAAAATGCTATTATATTTAGTTATATTTAGTTGAAGCATCTCTGTGTATTTTTCTGTTAAATATATGTTTCCTGTTTTTTTCTTACACTGAAAAATGAATAACTTGTACCTAATGGCCGTTTTGACTGGAAAAAAAAGGTTGTCTATGACATTTGCACAGAACTATACATTAAGTAAATGCAGATGTATTCCTTTAAGCCAAAAGACAAGGCAGGCCAATAGTAGAAGAAATGCAGAACATCCCTGCAGGACAATTCCCACTTTGGGGCTTAAGTTATCTTGTTTACTGAAAAAAATGAAATGACCCCTTAAGTTTGTTTTAAGTTGACACATAAGAAAACACCAACTGAAAAGTAGACAACCTGCGAATACAGCAGGACAGACAGTCTTGTTTCCTGTGGACTTATTTAGCCGTGGGACCTGGCCACTCGATGACAGGTAACACTTTGCTGCACAGAGGCTGAAGTCAACCCTTAAACCCCTCGCGGAGAGATCCACTAGAGATCAAACTGACATGGAACAGACAGATCAGACGCTGGGATCAGACAAGAGAGAGCAATGGTGCTGTTTCGGGATGATGAAGTGCAGGTCCAGGGGGGCCCTTCACTTCTTTCTCACTTCTTTTCACTCTTTGATTCGTTATCAAGAAGGTCTAGTGTACAGTAGTTTGACAAAGGGCCTAAACCCATCTTCTTGTATGAAGCTCTGTTTTCAGTCACGAGCAGCTCTAGATCTGTATTCCTTCAAACCAAAGACAATGTAGTCCTGTACTTGCATTTATAAAGAATTTGAGGAAAGGAAACCTGATCTGGGTACAGCTTCCATTAGTGAACATGGATAGTGGTCTCTATGGCTGCCTGTAGACAGCACACTGTAATGCTCAAATCAGATTTGAGCTTTACATGTTCTTTTTTTTTTAAACTTAATCTGATTTGCATGTTTAGATGAGCTGGTTTCTGATGATCTGCTTAAATAAATGAACCAAAACAAAGATTAACAAAAGATTACTCCATCAATTCTATTCCATGTAATACCATTATACACAAAGCAGGCCATCAGACATACATTAGACACAAAGCAAAACAAAATGCAGGCTCAAAAACATTACTATACTTATAGCTATGAAATGGTTATTCAAGACTCAAGCTTGTTTATTGTCATTACACAGGGTACAATAAAATTGGGTAGCAATCCTAATGGTGCCTAAACAAAAAAAAGATTAAACTAGGAATAAAGCAAAAATATAGGCTAATGTAAAATATAAAATACAAGATAGAAAAGAAAGACTATATAATTTAAAATGATTTAAAATAGTAAAAATAGAAAATTAAACTCTAAAATAATTTAAAATAAAATTATAAAAGTAAAATAAGTAAAATAAAAAGTGTGGATATAAAAGAATGTAGCAGCTATGGTATTGCACTTGAGGGTATTGGACGTATGTGAACATTTCTATTCACAGTGCAGTTTAATAATAAATATAAAGTGCAGCATGAATGTAAACATCTTTTAATATCCTTTGAGTATGATTTGGAAAGGTGCGGGTAGACACTATTCCTGTATTGTTGGTGCTTGGATGGCAGTGTGTCAACGTTGTGCAGTGTTCAGTTCTCTTGTTGCACTGGGGTAGAAGCTGTTCTTTAGCCTGTTTGTCTGTGACGTGATGGACCTGTAGCATCTGCCTGATGAAAACAGGTCGAACAGATGATGACCAGGATGAGATGGGTCTTTCAGGATGTTAGTTGCGCTGCTGAGGCAGTGGGACCTGAAGACCTTCTCCAAGGGGGGCAGCGAGCAGCCGATGATCTTCTGGGCTGTACTGATGACTCTCTGAAGGGCTCTCCTGTCCGCTGCTGAGCTGCAGGTGTACCATGTGGAGATGCCATATGTAAGCATGCTTTCAATGGAGTAGCGGTAGAAAGGCATTTCCTGAGGCCTCTTAAAAAGTAGAGTCGCTGCTGTGCCTTTTTCACTAATGCTGTGGTGTTGGTGGTCCAGGAGAGATCTTCAGCAATGTGTGTGCCCAGGTACCTGAAATCATGTACTCTTTCCACACTGTCCCCGTTAATGTAAATTGGTCTGGTTTTGTGAAGTTCTTTCTGAAGTCTATGATGAGTTCTTTAGTTTTTGAGGAGTTCAGGGTGAGATTGTTCTCTGAACACCAGAGAGACAGTCCTTGGACTTCATCTGTGTAGGCTGTTTAAGTCCAATCACGGTTGTGCCGTCTGCAAATTTGATTATGGTTTTGGTGGGATGGGTGGGGGCACAGGCATGAGTGTAGTGGCCGTAGAGAAGGTTTCATGTAAACCATGGTAAAATTCCCAACGGTTAGTATAACCACTTCAAATTTTATTTATTATTAAAACCGTGGACAATTATTGTGCTTTGAAAAGCCTAAATCAGTTTATCAGTTGTAAGCAGTAATATGAAACTGTCTGTACTGAATTATCATTAAAAACACAATAAAATGATTGAATACACATGTTTAAACTGCTCAGGGCCACATGGTGCTGCCATTAATATCAATGCAAATTTTATATGATTTTCATATTTTTAAATAAGGTATTGGCTATGTTATTATTTCACTGCTTTTGCAAACAAAAGGTGCATTGTGCTGATAACTGTATTTGTGGTTTTCAAAATAAAACTTGAAATGATTTCAGTTTGTGTATCTGTACTTTTGACAGACAACAGTGATTTTGGACATAATCATGATACAGTTTTCATACCGTTTCATCTCTACCTAT